TCCAGGGAAGTCTGGGAATCACTTTTAAATAATTCTACTGTAGTAGGAAGATCATGAGGTGAATTCTCCTAACACCATCAAGGCCAGTCGAGTTTTCGCAGGTTTTTCATAGTGTATATGTTTTTGATGCAGAAGTTATCTCTGTGACTCACTTCTGCCAGAATTTGTCCTGTTCTGTCTTGTGGTTTGGGAGGCCCTGTGTCTCCACTTGCTCCTGGCAGATTGACAGCATGGGGCCTTGCGGCGCTCTTTGTCTGCCGGTGGTGTCTTGTCTCCCTTCTGTACTTTTCCGGGTTATGAGGCTGCTGTTCCAGTCTGGGCAGCCACCTCCTGCCATGCCACTATGGCGCTTGAAACTAAACTGCCATGTTTTCCACTTTCTAGACCATTTAAAGGCTGACGTTGGTCCTCTTTTCGTTGCAAAAGCTGCCTAACAGTAGGCCAGTAGCCAAGGTGTTCAATGGACATTTCATGGCCTTTGTCATCCTCAGACTGCTAGCATCATTCAGAGGTGGAATGGACTTCTAAAAAATCAACTCAGCAAAGATCTCTACCTCTTCCTGGTCCGTACACTTTAGTAAGGTAGTTTGGTCACTGAATGTGTTTGTCACCAGAAAGGATTTATCTCTATCTCCTGGGTAAAGATCAGGTCAAAGGGGTTGGGAGTTATATAGACTATTTCGAAAATTTGGAATTCTACCCTCAACATTCCTGTGTATGATGCATCTTTCTTTCCCCTAACAGCAAGCCCAGGTTCACCTGGTTGGTGCACCCTCTGGCTGGCAGCTGACCAAAGGGGGCCTCAGGAATTAATTCTGGTTCAGCCTCCGAGATTCTTTCTTGGATGCCTAGTCCCAGGTCATGAAAACAATCACTGGGTGCCCTGCCTGCCACTTCTCCCTACAGTGGCCCACATGGTCTCTGTAAATTTGTAAAAATGCTTGTTCCATTTACATCTGACCTTTCCAAACAAAAGGTCTGGGTGTGAGTAGGTGATGATAGAAGAGGTAAAGCTGTACCTTCTGGGATGGGAGTCACACTGATTTCGTGTCCTCGGAGGGAGAATAACAACCTGGCACCTGGCAAGGGAACACCTCAGACCCCAGGAGGTGTGGGGGGTGGGGAAGGAGGGGTGTAATCAGTGCTCTTTGTGCCCTCTAGATCCAACAGTGCAGCCTGCCAATCCCTCACCTGGTCCGCCTGAGCCCTGCAGCAGGCAGTGTGACGCATAGACGCAGCCAGTCCTGAACCATTCTGCTATACCCAGTGCCATCAGCAGCAACGCCTGAATGTGGGCCCCACCCATAGACGTTTACAAACACATGGACCTGCTCAGCTTTGTTCTAATCTGGCTGATAAAAGCACACACTTCTGATGCCAAGCAGCTCCGAGCTATGCCATGTATGGCAATTGAGGCCACAGCTACTCATGGCACTGCCCATGTGGCTTAACCAAACCAGTGCAGTGGTGTTCCAAGTCAAGTTTAATAACAAGTCCTGAACTGGAGTGCCTTGTGCCCAGTACTCTGTGTGTTTGCATGTGGGAAAGAACAAGTCACAATGTCTCTCCATTGGGCATGAGGGCCTGCTCGGGGGCCTTGTAATTATTGGCCGTGACACCAAAGATCAACAGGTCAGTCTGAAGTCCCTTGTGGGGTTCCTAATGGATAAGAGACTAGCCTCTGATTCCATCCTGGCTGTCTGAAATAAGCCCTGCATGGTCACATCTTGATGAGTCCAGGACACTGGATGGCAGGTTGGCCTCATCAACGGGAGTCACTGCTACTTGGAGTCCTGCTGACAGTAATTAAATGCCGTATGAGACAAACTGTTGTTTGTTTCCCCGTCTCCCTTGCAGCTGGATGTGACCAGCTGTCTAAATCCAGACTGAAGGGATGTGTGCTGCCTCCAGGTCGGCTCCTTAAAAGGAAGTGGTGTGCCCTCCACTTGCCCTTTTCCTTCCTGAGAACCCGATGGTGGGGGCCAGGCTCCCCACAGGCCCAGGGACGACATCCTGGAGGAACGCAGAGCACCCAGACAGAGGGAGCCCGGTCCCTGGATGATCTTGCAGAGTCACCCACTCACCTGCTCTGGACTCCCACCAGCTCAGGTTTTCGTGGGAGAGAAAAGTGACGCTCTCTTGTTAAGCCTCTGTCTTCAGAGACTCTGAAAGCTGCCACATCCTTAATATAATATAGGAGCGAATAACCGGGGATCTGAAGGACCAGGCCAAGGTCTCCCTGGACCCATTCACTCACTCACCCCACAATTTTATTTAGCACAGCAGTGAAGAGCTACTACTTCCTCTTGAGTCTGGAAGGTCTCACACTGCTGTCCCACAACCCACTAGCCGAGTGTCCCACTGTACCTTTTAGGGCTCAACTACATATAACATGGGGATCCTATTGCCAGTTTCATAAGGAATCATGAGACTGTGTTTGTGAATCATAATAAAAACTAACACTTATCAAGTATCTATTTACCTTGTCCCAGGCACGCTCTGTGCAAAACCATGTACCTTATGAGGTAAGTTCCATTTGACAGAGGAGGACAATGAGGGCCAGACTGACTAACTTAATGTCCACAGAACAGTAAGGGGTAGAGCAAGGATTCACCTGTAAGCAGACTGACCTCCAGAACCCAAACTCGTAGCCACTCTAAAATTGCTCTAACCTGCCGTTGCCACACTGCCTGGCATCAGGTAACCCAATTCACCAAATGATAGGGAGCACCAACTCTGAGCCACACCGTTCCAGGCGCTGAGCAAAGCAACGAAGCTCCCACCCTCCTGAATTTATGTTCTGCCGGGAGACACAGGCACTTTCTCTCATGTCCTGCACACGGTTGTCGGCAAAACCACAATCACTGTTCACCACCTCTTCTCAGAGTAAAGACCAAAGATCTTTGATTTACAAGACAGTCCACCACCCACCCCAACCATCCCTCCTCTTCTACCTCTCTCCCTCCAGCTCTTCAGATACACAGGTACATTCCTGCCTCAGGGCCTTGGCACTTGCCACTCCCTCTGCCTAGCTAAGCCTCCGTGTTCTTACATGGCTTGCTTTCTCACCTTCAGATCTGTACTCAGAAAGGCTTCAGTGAGGCTTCCCTGGTAACTATCTGAAATCCAGCGTCTCCCAAACATACTACATAGTTATTCCCTGGTCTCCCCCTTCTTGCTGTATTTCTCTTCTTAACACATATTACTTTAAAAAAAAAAATAGAGTTCATTGAGTTATGTTACATAAAACCCATTTCAAATATACAATTCAGTGATTTTTAATAATTTTACCAGGCAGTGCAACTATCACCATAAATCTGTTTTAGAACATTTTCATCCCCTTCCCCCCAGTAAGATCCCTCATGGCCATTTACAGCTAATCGCCATTCCCACACTCAGCTCCCAGCAACCACTAATCTACTTTGTCTCTCTAATTGCCTTTTCTGAATACTTCATGTGAATGATATCATACAACATGCAGTCTCTTGTGTCTGGCTTCTTTCACCCAGCATAATGTTTTTGAGGTTTATGTAGCTGTAGCGTATGTCGGGAGTTCATTCCTTCTTATTGCTGAATAGTATTCCATCGTATGGATAGATATATCACATTTTGTATATCTATTCACCAACTGACGGACAGTTTTGTTTCCAGCTTTTTCTAACATACTCTACATTTTGCCTTGTTCCCGGCACTAGAATGTCAATTCCACGGGGCTGGAATTTTTGCTGGTTTTGTTCAGCTCTGTGTCCCCAGAACTTGAACTGTGCTGGACACATGGTAGGTACTCAATAAATATATGCTGAAGGAACACGTGAGAATAAAGATAACCTCAGAGAGTGGTAAGCAAGGGCTATCTACGCTGGCCACGAGGCAGGGGAAAGGGGATGGAGTGACGAGGCTCGGTGGACCCAGCAGTCAGGGCAGTCTCCTCTAAGGAATGGACTTTGGAGCAGAGACCTGAACGCACAAGGCTGATTACTACACGTTCGTCATCATCCGCAGGCCTCAGCTACCTGCTCCTGCCTAAATGCCAGTCTTGCCTGCCACTCCTGCAGGTCCAGGCAGCCAACTTGGCAGCAGGGCTGGGCTGGAGAGGGACTTGCAAGGACTAGCCTCACAGCCATCGGAACAGATGACGCAGGCCCCAGTTCCTCCCTGGGCCTAACCTGGGCCCTGCGCAGTGTGGGGAGGGAAGGCTGGGCTCGCCTGGCTGCCCCTTCTGCTGAGTGACCCCCAGGGTGAGACAAAGGGGTCAGGCACAGCCTTGGACTTGAGCTACACTGCCTGGGTTCGAATCTCAGTTCTAGCCTGTTCACAAGGAGCTAATTTTGTCCGTCATCTTAACTGGTCCCTCAGTTTTCTCATCTGTAAAATAGGGATAGCAACCATAGCTACCTTTTACTTAAAAGCCAAACATTATCTTATAAGCACTTACTCCTTGTAACTGTGTGCAGGCATGGTTGTGGGAAACTAATCCATTTGATTCTTACAACAGCTCCATATGGTAGCTGTTCTTTACAGATGAGGAAACTGAGGCCCAGAGAGGGGGAGTAACTTTCCCCAGGTCACTCTGCTACTAAGTAATACAGATGGGCTTCCAATCAGCAGACTGGTTCCAAGTGCATGCTCTTCACCCCTTCAGACACTGCTTCTCACCAAGCCAAAGGCATTGTCATAGTGAGTTAATGTATCTGAAGCCCTTGGAACAGCAGCCCAGCACGTAGTAAGTACACAAGGAGTGTCAGTATTATCACAGAGGGCATGGGGAGGCACCCTCCCTCTCATTTCTTCAAAAGCAAGGATCTGACCCTTTTAGGGGAAGCTGATAAGAGCTCTAGCCCCTCAAATCTGCAACTGCCCACACATTCCTCCCCCAGCCCCACCCACCACTCACTTGCCAAGGCTCACTGGGTGGGTGGTGGTGTGGGGGAGACATAAGTTAACTGTCCACCCTCCCCATTTCCCAGAGGACCAGTTGGGCGGTGCCGGGGAGGGGCTGTGAGTCAGGGCTAAGGACTCTGAACAAAGGTCTCGGGTAGGGCTCCTCAGAACTTCCGGGGCTGGCCCACTGCCTCTCCCCAAGGCCGGTCCTCTGCCTTTGGCCCTGCAGACATACCTTCTCTCAGCACCATGGAGGTCGACCGGTCGGCAGGTGCGCTCCTGGGGAGTGGGGAGCTTGAGGGGCAGGGGGCCAGACTCAAACCCAGGGACTGCCTCCAACGGGGCATTCCCTGCGCTTGCACCAACGCACCCAATTTCTCTTCTCTCTGCAGCCCTGGAGTCCACCTCCAAGAAGCCCCACGGGGCAGGCCAGGTGGGAGACCCCAAGCACGCCCCCGACAAAGTTGAGGGAGCTGATAACCCGAAGGTAAGTCACTTCATTCTTAGGAGGGTGTTTTTGACCCCAGGGTCCCGCTAGGTCTGGGGCCTCCGACATGGGGGAATGGGAGCTGGGAAAGGGGTCCCTGGCCTCACTGCCATGCCTCCGACTAGCATCAGCACGGCCACGGCCACGGCCACGGGCACGGGCACGGCCACGGCCACGGCCACGGGCACGGGCACGGGCACGGAAGCTCCTCAGGTTCCGGCAGCAGCTCCAGCGACTCAGAAAATGAGGCGAAGGTAAGAGGCTTACCCCTCACTAGCGGGTGCCCGGCGCCCCAGCCCGGAATTCGGGCCGACGTCTCACAGGCGAACCCTCTCTCTCCTCTCCCTCCCCCACCGCCCTCCGCCCCACAGCCCAGCGCTGCCGGCTCCGAGCTATACAAAAGCGCCCCGGGCAAGGTCAAGAAGCCCAAGGTGAAAAAGGAGAAGAAGAAGGAGGAGAAGAAGGAAGAGAAGAAGGAGGAGAAGAAGGAGGGCAAGAAGAAGGAGGGGAAGAAGGAGGCTTCCCACTAACGGGCCTCTCCGGGGCTCAGTAAACCTTCTCTCGGCCTCCAGGTTGCCTTTTGTCCCCCGCCCTTCCCCATCCCCCTTCTCGGACCGGGCCTGCCCCCTGCTGGGCACCGCGCGCCAAGGAGAGGCTGCCCACGCCGTGCCCATTACGGTTTATTGTTTCTGGAACAGTGGCCGCACTGCTGGGGGGCGGCCTGTGCAGCTGGAGATCTCAGCACCTCGGCGAGGATGGGGAGGGAGGGACTCGGGCGGCGGGGTGGACCCTGTGGCCGGCAGGTGGCCGGGAGATGAGCGCGGCAGCGCGGTGGCCACCATAAGCAGCAGCTGGAGGCGTTGTGGGGCCGCCCTCACCGCACCAGGTGGAAGGTGAGCCAGTACATGAGCAGGGGCTGCGCCGCCGCCACGGCCATGGTCAGGTACATGCGCAGCTGGTTCCGCGCCCCACGCACCGGGATGCCCTCGGCCGCCGCCTCGGCCAGGATCTTCAGCCGCAGCGTCCGGATCTGGGCGGGGGAGGGGTTCACTCTTGAGCCCGCACTCCTTCCAGACTCCAGTTTCCCCACCCCTCCATAGGGCAGCTGGGCTCAAGTCTCTGCTCTTGAGGAACCTTGGTTTCTCCCAAATCTCCTAACACACGTGGAGGACCTGCTCCTCCTCCCAGGCCTTGGGAGAAAATGTGAGGGTTCCAAACTCAAATGCTAGGCGAGGCCTCTTAAGTGAGTGAGGTGAGGAGCTTCACTGTGAATACTCCACCTGAGGGGATGGCCAGGCTTGGCCCTTTGGCCGTCACCAGCTTGTGTTGACCCTTGACAATTTTTCAACACAAGCCAGAAATGCCTTCTTTTTCTTCTTAACTTTTTTTCCCCTCCCCTCCCCCCGCCCAGAATTTTAAATAATGACATCTAAGTCGAAGTTTATCTGAGCAGATCTGGCCCACCAGCCACTAGTTTTTGCCCTCTGCTCCTCACACTGAATCCTCCCAGTACCCTGACGTGCAATTATCATCATCCCCATTTTACAGAAGGGGAAGCAGGTTTAAAGAGAGGAAGTGATCTGCCCAGGATCGAGCGAAGCCTGGGTTCAAACCCAGGCCTGGTGGATCCCAGTGCTCTTAACCAGCACCTCCACTCCAGCTGGATGAACTCTCAGAGAAGCTACTTTGAGGATACTGAACTCTTTTCATCCTAAAGGAAATTCTGGTAGGAGGCCCATCACGCAAGGCGAGTGGAGTGAGGGTGAGAGCCCACTCTAGCAGCCTGGCTGGCGCCTCCTCTTCCTTCAGGACCCCGCTTGGACACCCCCTCTTCCAGGAAGCTCTCCGGACCCTCAGGCTAGGGCAGCCACTCCAGGGCTCCTCAGTTCACCAGTGTGGGGCCTCTGGTCTAAACTCCCCACCTGACATCCCCTGCTTGGATGCCTCCAGGGACCCCCAACTCTGCCCAGGAGGCCTGTGCCCTGAGTCCCATCCTTCCCTGAGCCCCAGCTCACCATGAACACAAAGATGGACACACAGCACCAGCCCAGCACCAGGTAGTAGCCAATCTTTCCAAAGAGCAGGCCCATGAGGACCCCACCAATCATCCTGTGGGGGAAAGGGGAAGGCTGGTCTGAGGAAGAAGCCCCAGAGCTGGGGGCTGGCCGTGGGAAGGTGGAGGGGGGGTACTCACCCAACATATTTGTAGCCCAAGAAGGCCACCAGGTCGATAGTGGTGAGGTCTGTGTTGACAGTGACAAGGTAGAGACTGAGCAGGATGGCCAGCACCTCCAGTGTCAGCCAGGCCAACGCCGAGCTCGCCTGCAGCCCCAGGAGGTCTGGGGAGAACCTGTCAGCACCCAATCTCTGTCATTCAGTTAGCTGGCTCAGACCCTCCCTAAGCATCTGCCTGGGGACAGCCTGTATGGGGGGGGGCGGGGCATGCTGAAGACCCGGCAGGGGCCAAGATGGATCTGGGCCCTGTCCTGGAAATCCCATCCCCAGTGACAGCCCAGAAAGGTCAGGGCTGGGATGGGGAAAGCACCGGGCAGGGGAGGTGTGTGACCCCGTTGGGAGGTGGGTATCAGACACTTGAGCTAAGGCTTGAAGGAGTAAGGAGCTGATTGGGGAAGAAGGACCTTAGTCTCTGCCATATCCCCAGTGCCTCAACAATTAATTGACTCTAATGACAACCGTTTTCCATGCCACAAAGGAAATGAACAGGGGTCTATGAGTGAGAGGTGGGGGCCTGACGCAGGCTGGAGGGTGGAAAGGCTTCCCTGAGGAAGTAACATCGCAGTGGAGACATCATGAGTGAATAGGTGCTCAGCAGGTGATGTAGGGGAGGAACACACTCCCCAGCAAAGGGAACTGATGTGCAAAGGCCCTGGGGAGGCAACCCAGGTCCTCTGGAGAAACAGAAGGAGGACCAGAGTGGCACAGCAGAGTGAGGGAGAGGGGCAGGCAGTGCCAGGCTAAGGAGCTGGGGCTTGGTCTGGGGACAGGGGAGCTAGGGACAGCTTCTGAGCGGGGGGGGGGACATGGCCAGGCTCACCTCCCAGCCAAGACCTTCCTGCTGGAGTGGGGGTGCAGGGGGTGTGTGTGGGCCGGGCAGCTGGTTAGGAGAGGCCAGGGGAAGGATGGATTTAGTGTCACCCAGCACAGGGTGTGGTGATGGGCTGCACACGGGTGGGAAAGAGGAAAGGGGCAAGGGTGACCCTGAGGGTGACCGTGCGGGCTCTGTCTTGGGCTAACTGGGAACATGGTGGGGCTCTTCTGAGACAGGGGAACCAAGAGACCTTCCTGACTGCCCCTCAGCTCCCCCAAACCCCACAACACTCTGCCTACTCCAGGCCACTCTTACCTATCCTGGGTCCCCAGCGCCAGGCCAGCCACCAAGACGTAGGTGATGAAAGCCATGGCTGTGAGAGGGAGACACACAGACACTAGTCAGCCCAGGGCCTCCGGGCACCTAAACCTCTGCCCGAGACAGGCCCACCCAGAGGGAGGAGGGCACCGGGCTGTGGTGGGTAGGGTGAAACCTGGAATGTAGAGGTCAGGAGCGTTGACATCAAAGCGCGGGGCCACTGGTGTGTCCTGCTGGTACTGCACCTCCCAGTCCTGTGGGGAGGGCGGAGGGGGCAGGCAGGACCAGAGCTGGGCTCCTGGCCCGCCTACAGGCCCTCTCTCGGCCTATCTTCCTGCCTCTCACGCCTGCCCCAGCCTGACCCACCCCTGTCTACAGGCTGCCACCCCGCTCAGATGCTCACCTGGTGCAGGTAGGGGAAGAAGAGCAGACCCAGCTTTTTGCCCACATACATGGTGTCCACAGCGAAGTAATACTTGAGCTTGGTGACGGGGATGAAGCGGTCGATCTGGGGAGGCAGAGCGCCAACCTGAAGCCCTGGCCCCAAGGCCCCTACCTGCCCCCACACCCACCAGCCCGGCCCACTCACGTTCTTATCCACCAGCTCCTTGCCCTGCGCGGCTAGGCTGCTCCCGTAGGCCATGGCCATGTTGGACACAGGATCACCCAGGAAGGCCGACTGGGGCGAGGCGGAGGCTGTAGGGTAGCCCAGGCCGCCCGGCGCCCGCTGGGCCCCATAGCCTCGGCTCTGGGCCGAACTCGTGTCATCAAAAAGCTGGTGGGGGTCAGCCATGCCTGGCTGGGACACAGGTACCCTCCGCTTCGAGGCTGCAGGGGGAGAAGGGTGGGGAGCCTCATTCATTTTGCAGGAGCTCTCCCTCCCACTTCTGCCGCAGTGGGGCACTGGTTTTGCTGTCAGATGGGTTGTCTAGTCAGGTTTGGGCGGCCTCTGCCTGCCTGCCATCCATCCATCCATCCAAATAACAATGATGAGGAGGAGGACGACGATGACGGCTACTATGTACTGGGGTTGACTGCACAGCATCCTGTGCTAAGCCTCTTACAAACAAGGTCTCTAGACAGACCTCCCTGCACGTTCCCTCCTACTCATCCAGCTCCAGCCACACCGGCCTCAGTATTCAGTGAACACACCAGGCACATTCCCACCTCAGGGCCTCTTCACTGGCGGTTCCTCTGCCTGAACGCTCTTGCCCCAGACATCCTCAGGGCCCCCTCCTCTCCTCGAGGTCTTGGCTCCGTGGGGCCTTCCCCAGCCATCCTGTCTACAGCTGCATCTCCCTTGGTGCCATCCCCTCATCCCTGTTCCCCACTTCATTTATATCCACAGAACTCAGCAACAGCTGACACACTAGCTGTTTATTTTATTCACTGTCTGTCTCCCCCACTCAAATTTGAGCCCCAGCCAAGGTGAGGAGCTTTGTCTTGTTTGTGACTGAAGCCCCAGCCCCTAGAACAGGGTTAGAGTAGGTGCTTGATAAAAACCTGATGTAAAAATAAAAATAAATAAAAATAAATTTTAAAAAAGGGCTTCCCTGGTGGTGCAGTGGTTGGGGGTCCGCCTGCCAATGCAGGGGACACGGGTTTGGGCCCTGGTCCGGGAGGATCCCACATGCCGCGGAGCGGCTAGGCCTGTGCGCCGTAACTACTGACCAGTGCTCTGGAGCCTGCGAGCCACAACTATTGAGCCCGCGAGCCTGGAGCCCGTGCTCTGCAACAAGAGAAACCACTGCTCCCCGCAACTGGAGAGGGCCTGCGTGCAGCAATGAAGACCCAATGCAGCCAAAAATAAATAAAAATAAAAATAAATTTAAAAACCTGATGAATGAATAAATGGCCATGCCCATTTTACAGATGTGGAAACCGAGGCTCAGACAGGCTAAATGACTTGTGCAAAGGGCCAAAATGAGGGAGTGACAGAGCAGGATTCCAGCCCAGGTCACCCTGTTAAATATTGTAATAATTAAACCCCAGCTGAGCACTTAAACCACACACCAGGCCATGTTCTAAACACTGTGGATTAACTCATTTAATCCTCACAACAATCCATTCTGTGTTGGTGAGACTATCATCCCATTTTACAGATGGGAACCATGAGCCCCAAAGAGGCTCAGGCCCTTGCCCAGAGTCATACAGATGGTGTGAAGCAGAGCCCGGTTTCAAGTTTTCAAAAGATCCCTCCATTTCTTTCGGGGGAACAGACTGGGAAGGCGGGGACAAGATGAGGGGAGAGGAGGGGAGGGGAGGGGGGAGGAAGCTGCTGAGGTGGTCCAGGTGGGAGAACAGGATGGGGCGGGCAGGGGTGGGGTGGGGAGGGGAGGGGCTGCTTCTGGCAAATTTTGGAGGTAGGAGAGGCAGGATTGTTGGAGGTGTGCTTGGCTGCGGTAGGGTAAGGAAGATGAAGGAATTCACGCTGTCTTCCCAGATTCTGGTCTGAGTGATCAAGTGGATGGGAGTGCTGTCTACTGAGATGGGGAATATGGAGAGAGCAGATTTGAACCCAGCACTCAGGCTCCAGTACCCTGACCAATAAGCCATGCCACCGCAGCAAACGTTTACTGAGCTCCTCCTCTGTGCCAGGCGCCACAGTGGGAACAGGGTGGTAGGATTACAATGGGATGCGGAAGAGGAATCACATAATCCATGTCGTGACTTTCTCTACACCTCAGTTTTCTCCTCTGCAGGATGGTGTCAACACTCCAGGGCAAAGTGACATAAACTCCTCACCCCCTGGCCTGGCCCATAAAAAAGTGGTCAATCCCGTCACCTATTATCAATAACTAGCCCCTCGACTCTTCCTCTTCATTATTTGTAGCCTGAAAACAGACCCAGGTAGTCCTCTATCCCAGAGCAAGCAGCACTGGCCCCGGCCCACTTGTCCCCAAGCACCACTTCTCTTTTCCCTCTCCCACTTCTGGCCAAAGGGCTGGCTTCCTGAAAGCTTTAGTGTAAGCACTTCCTCCCTCTTTGTTGCCCCCTCAGCCCTTGGCATTTGGGGTTCTGCTCTCACCGGTCCCCTAACTGCCTCTGCATTACCAGGCCAAGGCCGTTATTTACTCTCCTCAGACTCAAGCTCCTCGGCAGCACTGAGGCCCTTGCTCCAACTGCCAACCTCCAACTCTCTGCTCTCTTGGCTTCTGAGACACTGTACTACCTCTTTCTCTTTCCTGTCGGAGCCCCACAAACATCAACTGAGCACCTCTGTGGGTTAGGCTGTGCTGCGGGTGAGGTGGATACAGCAGTGAACCAAAAGGGAAAAACTCATGGAGCTGATGTTCTGATCGGTTCTTCTCAATCAGTGATTTCTCTCCAGCTCCCTGAATTGTGTGCCCCAATTTTCCACCACCCTTACCCTTGTCTTCTCTCTCTCAACTAGGGCAATCTCACCACACCCATGGCTTTCACAGCCACCCACCCTGTGCCCTGGGCTGTCTCTAGCCACCACTTCCTGCCAAGGCCCCAGGGCCTTTACCTCTGACATCAGTTCTCACCCATCTGGTCTCAATGTCACCCTCCCTTCTCAGACTCTGTCATCTTGCACCTGACTTAAATGTCCTCCTACCAGCTTCCCCTGTTCATTCTTAGCCCCAACAACCTCCTTTCCAGTCAGCAGCCAGAATGATCTTTTTAAATGTAAAAGAGAATATTTCATGCCCTCTGCCTAAGATCGGTGCCCACTGCGCTGAGAACAAAATCCAAATGCCTAGGAGGCCCTGCATGACCCAGCCCTGCCAACCACCCTGGTTTGCTACCTCTCCTGGGACTCACTCCACCAGTCACAAGGGCCTCCTCCTCTCGGGCCCTGACCCTGCCAAGCTCCTTGCCCCCTCAGGCTTTTGAACATACAGTGCTCTCACCTTGGAACACCTTCCCACAATTAACACCTGACAATACAGCACTCAGGCCTCAGCTCAAAAGATTCCTTCTCAGAGAGACCTTCCTTACTCCTCAATATAAAGCACTAGCCCCACACTTTTCTTCTCATAACATCCAGTGGTTCTTTTTTCTCTTCCAAGTACTCGTCACAACTTCTGAATCTATATTCATTTGTCTACTTGCTTACTCAGCACAGGCCTCCCACGCTTTTCCCTCGCACCATAAATCCCCTTCCCCGGGCTAATTCCTCATCATTCGATGTTACCTCTTCCCGGAAGCTTCACTGACACGCCTGGGCTGGGTCATGTTTCCTAATCTGGGCTAACACAACACCTCCATCCCTGCCATAACCACTCTGATTGTGCTTCCCCCATCCCAGCCCTGACCCCTCTGCCTGCTCTTCTCTTATCACAGCTCCATGAAGACAGGAACCAGGACTGATGGGCACGGCTGTATCCCCAGCATCGCCCACCACAGGGCCAGTCAGGCATCTTACAAAGGTTGAGGGAGGAATGTAAGGCCTCCTCAACCCCTTGTCAGTTTCCGGCTTATTCCCTTTACAGTCCTAATCACTCCCGAAATTATCCTGCTGCCTAGTTTGCTTCCAAGTTTAGTGTCTGTCTTCCCACTAAACTCTGAGCTGTAAGTTGCCAAGTTGCTGGTTACTACTGGGTACCCAAATTGCAGCACAGGGCCTGGCACAAGGGAGCTGAAGTAAGATATTCTGAATGAATAAATGAGACGCACTCACACTCCCGGAGATGAAGAGGAACTTAAAGAGAGATACAAATTCACAGACATGGGAAAAGGGGATTAAAAGCACAATAAACACAGGTTCAAATCTTAAATGAGGGGTAAACACGGCCCTCTGCGATCACGCAGGGCTTTGAACGCCGTCCTAAGGTGCGTGGGCAACAGCCCAAGGCCACGGAAGAGTGGGGAGAGGACAGACGGCTAACTGAAAATGAATGAAAGTCGCGTTGTTCTGCACATCACACAATATCCTGCCCAAACTTGTTTTCTTCTAAAGGAATTTCCTAAAGAAGAATCGAATCCAACACGCCCCTACCCGGACCTGGCATCCCTGCGCCGTGCACACCTCGTAGCTCCAGATCCCTGACCTCGTGACCTCCGACCTGCGGCGACCTCGCCAACCGCCGAGGCGGCCCCGCCATGCCCCGCCCTCCTAGCGCCTCGGTCCGCCACGTACGCCACTTACGCTGCCGGGGCGTCCCCGCCGCCGCCAAGCCTGCCGGGTGCATTTTTCGCTGCCGCCGCCGCCACCGCAGCCCCAGCCACGGTTCGAAATGTGCCCGCCCGGCTCCCGTAGCCACGCCTCACCGGCCACACGACAGCCAATGGGCGTCACGATCGCGCAGACGCCACGCCCCCTCACAGAGGCCCAGACAAGCTGGCGGGTAAGAGGCGAAGACTGGAGGCCGGTGACGTTAGGCGAGAGTCAGGCCTGCAGGGCAAGGAGGGCGGAGCCCGGAACAATCGAAGGAGTAGGCGGTGTCGTGCATGATGGGAAATGTAGGTGTCGAGCGAAGAGGGCGATGGGAAATGGAGTTCTCTATAGACAAACGCTCAATTTGGCTCTTGAGAACACTGGGGAGCGAGAGAAGGGTATGGAGCAGGAGAGGAGAGACCCGTTAGTGTTCCCCAGGGGCTAAGCAGAGTTGTGCGGGCTCTAGCGCTTATACAGTTTTGGCAGACTTTAGGTATTAAAGTGATTATTTAGAGGGAGAGAAGGATATCCAACAAGTTAGGTGGGAAGAACCAGGTGTCTTTCCTCAAGACGTATTGTTAAAAAACAAAATTAGGGACTTCCTTGGCGGTCCAGTGGTTAAGCCTCCGCGCTTCCACTGCAGGGGGCGTGGGTTCCATCCCTAGTTGGGGAACTAAGATCCCACATGCCAGCTTGATGCGGCTAAAACCAAAAAAAAAACCCCACAAACAAAACAAACCAAAAAACCCCAAACTAAACCGAGTAAAATTTCTTAAATTAATTTTTTATTGGAGTATAGTTGCTTTACTAAACCGAGTAAATTTGAAGACCTATGGGATTTATTCAAAAATTTATGGAGGCTTCCCTGGTGGCGCGGTGTTTGGGAGTCCGCCTGCCGATGCAGGGTACACGGGTTCGTGCCCCGGTCCGGGAGGATCCCGCGTGCCGCGGAGCGGCTGGGCCCGTGGGCCATGGTCGCTGAGCCTGCGCGTCCGGAGCCTGTGCTCCGCAACGGGAGAGGCCACAGCGGTGAGAGGCCCGCGTACCGCAAAAAAAAAAAAAAAAAAAAAATTATGAATCGGGCGACATCCCATCTAGTAAATAGAACGGAGCTTGAAGGAGTTGTACAAAATGGAGGGTTTTTTATAGAAGGAGGCAAGGAAGTTATTAGCAAGAGAAAAGAAAGAATTATTTCAGACCAGGTCACCTTCTTTTGGTGGGAGGGTGAGAATCTATCTTATAGAATACCTCTTCTTCCTTTGCGGGGGTAGGGGTGGGGGCGTGGGGAATGTAGAAATGGTGAGGTCCCACATGACAGATTACCTCGCTGGTGCTGACCAGGAAATTCCAGACTGGCCGATTAAGATTACCTTCCTGGGGAAGGACAAAATTGCAGTTAGGTCAGATGTTAAAATCTAGGTTTGGTGTCATGGGCTTTAGCACGAGTGACGCCATTTGGGGTCTGTGGTTTTCTCTTTAACAACATCTTTAGACATTTTCCCAAAAAGTCATAAAAATGTTCCTGTGTTGCAACCTGGTTTCCCTGGTTTGCCAAAAAACATTATAATCCCCAGCAAGTGAGCACACACGGGCACACCTGCAAGTGAGGGGCCCTGAACACTAAGCTACCTTAGTCTCTCCTGTCTCTGCCCTCCATCTCCCCCTTTATCTAACCTGTCTCCCCCTCAGCCTCCCCTTTTCTGTCCCTCAGTCTCCTCCAGTTATCTCAGGCAAAGATAATGGTAGAAATGACTTCTGGGGAGTGATAGCCCTCCGGAAGGATGTCAGCAAGTGACCGTGTCACTGTGGCTTTCCCTTTCCTCTTCTGACACACTGTCTTTTCTGGGGACCTTGAAGACTGTTCTAGTCTCTCAGTTATGACTCCTGGCTGCACAGTCCTCTAGGCTTCACCATCCAAGCCCCTGTCACTCTGCCTGTGCTTCCCTTATCACAGCCCTGACCCTCTGGGCTGTCAGTCGGTTGAAGTGCGGGGAGCCCCCCCGCGAGGGCAGGGCCCAGGGACTGTCTTGGTCACTGCGTGTCCCCAGCATCACCCAGCAAAGCGCCAGGCACAAATTGAGGGCTGAGCAAAGATTTGGTGAATAGCTAAGGATCCCCACTCTGTGAGGGCACAGGTGACACCTGGCCCTGTGGTGTCCCCTTTGTGAGTTAGACAGGGGTTCCCTCCAGGTGGACGCAGCCCCACTCCAGAACGCACGACCTGGCGCGTGGAACGAGGGCTGGATTTCAGTTTGTCCCCTTGTCCCCTCAGCAACGCGCCCCGGTGCGGCGCACAACCTTCGCAGCCTTGAGCAATGGCCCTAAGGAGTCGGGGAGCGACTCCTCGGTCCGCGAGCCGAAAACAGACTTAGAATTCTCTCTGGCGTAGGGAGCCGCGGCTCCGGGGAGGAAGCAAAGGAAGGAAGGGGGAGGAAAGGAAGAATACCCCCAACCCAAGCATCCCGCCGGTCTCCTGGGTCCGGGAGCGCTGGTCTCCTCCCTCTCGGTCTTCACACCTGGCGGTGGGGCGTGCCTCAGTTTCCTCCACCCCGCCCCTCCCCTTTTTCCTCTTCTTCCTCTTTGGGGCGCCGGTGGCCGCGCGTCAAGCACTCCCGGAACTGAAGCTGGGCGCCTGGCGGTCGGGAGGCAGGGGCCACGTCAGCGGGGCGGCCGGGAGCTTGGCGGGCCGGCCGGCTGCGCCATGCGGCGGGGAGCGCTCCTGGCGGGCGCCCTGGCGGCGTACATCGCTTACCTGGTGCTGGGCGCGCTGCTGGTGGCGCGGCTGGAGCGGCCGCACGAAGACCGCCTCCGAGCTGAGCTGCAGACTCTGCGCCAGCAGCTGCTGCAGCGCAGCCCTTGTGTGGCTGCCCCCGCCCTAGACGCCTTCGTGGAACGGATGCTGGCGGCAGGACGGCTGGGGCGCGCAGCACTCGCCAACGCCTCGGGGTCCGCCAACGCCTCGGACCCCGCCTGGGACTTCGCCTCGGCGCTCTTCTTCGCCAGCACGCTGGTCACCACCGTGGGTACGTGGTCGCCCTCCCGAACCCCCGACCCGGGACCCCCCGGAGCCCCCGCCTCCCTAGGGACCCAGGAGCCGCCACGAAATACCCTGATCCCGGCGGATCATTCCCGATCTACTCTGAGCCCAGAATCCCCTCAAAACCCCCCAACGAGGACCTGGGACCCACACTCATGGGCTTCTCCACCTTGGGGGGCCTCCATCCATGCCTTTCCTCCCAGTAGGAAATCCACCAGTTCCCTCGGGGACCAGAGCCACCCTCAGAGTACCTTCCGGCGAGCATCTGGGGCCTCATTCCTCTGCCTTAACTCCCTTGGAGACCCGGGTCTGTCCAGTCCCCTCTGGGCCTAGAACTACCCTCAGAGACCTCCTGCGAGAACCCCGGACCCTCTGCCTGAGACCCTCGCCCCATCTGGACTGGGACCTCAGCCATGCTGAGCCAGCTCTCTCTGGCTCAGACCGCCATCCCCTCCAACACTGTCTCCTGGTTCTCCAGATACGTCCTTCTGGGTTGCCCCTTAGGAAGCCTTACCCCAATCTCCTCCCGACCCTGGTGCCCCAGTGAGGACCCTGAGTCTCCAGACCCTCTCCAGGTGCTATCCCTAAAGACCTTACTGCCAGTAGACATCCCTCAGCCAGAACCTGGGGCCCCTATCCCAGACTTCTAGCCCTCTGGACCTAGACCACTCCCCAGCAAGGGGCCCTGCCCTCCTCCTGACCAAGGACCACCCCCACCCTCATACTCCTCTGCAGGTAGCCCTGACTCCAGACACAGGGCCCCTCTTCACGTATCCCACTCCGTCTTAACATCTTTGTATTGAGGAGCCCTCAGTGCAGGGCTTTCCTCCCAATAGGGACACCCTGTTCCCTCTGAACGTGGGACTTCCAATTCAGCAGCCCCAGCTGTGGAAGTGCGTGAGAAAACTAGAGCACCTTCAGGAAGGGCCGCTGACTTTCCAACCAGAAGCTCCCTAGCCAGGACTCCCACCCCTCCAGTCCCAAAACGGCACCAGCAAAAACCCCTACTGTTTTCCAAGCCAGGGACTCCCCATGGGGACCCCTTTGTTTATTTATGTTGGCCCCCGCATGGATCTTTGTTCCCTGAACACAAACCGATGCCCCCTGCAGTGGAAGTGCGGAGTCCTAACCAGTGGACCACCAGGAAATTCTTTGCAGACCTCTTTGAACCCGAGAACCCCTAGCTGAGACTCTCACCACTCTCTGGACCCTGACACCCCTCGTAAGAACCCCAGAACCACCTGAGACCCCAGCGCCCTCCACACACGCTGTCCCTGAGAGCAGAATCGCCCCCCTCCCCAGGATGCCAGTGCAGGGAGCCGGCTCTCTGCACCTGCTACCCCTCCCCCGAGACCCCCTGCCCAACCTGAATTTCCCAAGAAAGGGAACCTCCTGGGGACCTGGGACCCCTTCAGTCTCCTCCAGACCCACAGCTGGGACCTTTCTCTCCACCCCAACCCTGCTGTAGTCTGCTCTGGACCTGAAGTTCTCCCTCCATCAAGGACACTCCAGGCTCTCTGTACCCCAGACCCCCCACCACCACTGTCCACTCAAGACCATTCCCACTTTCCACCCTTGACACTCTCAGCCAGAACCTGAGACACACACACCCCTCCCATCCTCCCCGTAGCACTGTCTACCCCCATCATGTCCCCTCAGGCATCCTTGGGCTCAGAAGCCCCTTCTGCCTGAGGATTCCCCTTCCAATCCAGAAAACACCCACACTGGTGCCTGTCCCCCTTCTTCCTCTGGACCCAGGACCCCAGCCCCAAACCAGGATTCTTTTCAAACCAGGACACTGGCCTCTGATTTCAGATTACTGACTGGACCCCACAGATCCCCTTCTCTGGACCCCTACAACCTCAGGTGGGACTGACGCCCCCTCCCAGCCCTACCCGGGAAATCTCTCACCTCAGGGCCCCTCAGACCTGGAAAATCCCTTTGTTGTCAGGCTCTGCTGGTCCTCCCACAGCCCCTCCCCAGCCCCCAAACTTCCTCTTTGCCTCTTTGCTAGGATTTGGATAGGGGAGGTGGCTGGGGCCTGGCTGGCCCAGACTCCTAACTCCCTTCACTGCCGGCAATAGCAGGCAGCCTTTGCCTTTTGTGCCCTGTCATCATTGTGTGGATCAGCAACCAAGGCCCGGGGCAGCAGGGCTGGGTGCTTCTCACAGACGTTCCAGCTGCTGGCTGGGCCTGCACGACCTGCTCCCCGGCTTCACTCTCCCTCTGTCTCCTCCCAGATCCTGGCTTCGGAGAAGTTGTCCCAGGCAAGATAGGTGAAGAAGCCAAACTCAAGGCAGGCACTGTCTGGGGGATCTCTGATTCTCAGTGTCCTCCCTCATCTGTAAAATGGGGATAATAACACTCCCTGCTTCACAGTAATAGCAATACCTGGTAGAGGACTTAACCACATATGGACTTTGACTCACTCAGTACAATAAGCCTTGTGAGGCAGGTACCATTAGCGGTTCTATTTTTCAGCAATAGAAACTGAGGCCCAGAGAGGTTGGACAACTTGCCCAAGGCCACACAGGTAGGAAGTATAGCGTGCGGTTTTGAACTGAGGCTGTCAGGCCTCAGAGTCCCATGCTGTTAACCAACACACCACACTACCTCTTAGGCTTGCATGAATGAAGGAGGGTGATGTATGTATATTAAAAAAAAATTATTCTGGCATTCGTTAAAAATGGTAGGTTATGGCAACAGGGGAGAGAGACTGAACTCAATTCCGAATATAGCAAAGACAGCTGGAGAGATTTAGAGCTGAGAGCAGAGTGAAGGGGTCAGTGGATGGAAAATTACCAAGAGGAGCATGGAAGGTAGGGGGATTCTTGCTAAATACTGGCCAAGGGCTTCGATATCAGTGGTGGATGGTGAGGAATCTGATCAGATATCAAGAGTGGGGGGATTCTCCCTAAACCAACTGAGGATTCCTGCTAAAACTGGGCTTAGTCAAGAAGAGGGCTCAGGACTTCCCTGGCGGTCCAGTGGTTTAGACTCTGCGCTTCCAATGCAGGGACGCAGGTTCGATCCCTGGTCAGGGAACTAAGATCCCACATGCCGCGCGGCACAGCCAAAAAAAGGGAAAAAAAGGAAGAGGGCTCAGAGGAGCTGACTAAAATTTGGTCAAGGTGGGAGTCTGTGTCCGTGTGAAGTGCCGGTAATAATAACTGAGACTGACAGAGCCTCGGTTATTATTATTGTTGCTGGTGAAGCCGGGAGCCCTGAATGTATCTGGAGAAATGGAAGACCGTATGTCATTCATAGAGACCTCTCCCACAGCGTCCCTGGTCTTGTCATAGGGCCTAGTCTTCTGAGGAAGACCTGGGGCCTGGAGCTGGTCCAGGCAGCCTTGCTGTGATTGAGGCCAGGGCTGGAGGAGTCGACTCACCTGCAACTGGGAATGGGGGGAGGGAGCGAGCATTACAGTCATGCTAACTCTTTCTATGCCCGTGCTAGGTGCTACACCCTGTCCCAACCTGCATTTGAGGAAGGCATTGTTTATGAGGCCATTTTGCAGTACTCTGAGGAAACTGAGGCTCAGAGAGGAGAAGTCACTTGGCCAAGGTGATGCAGGGACCAAATAACAAAGCACCGATTTGGACTTGGCTCTCTTGGAGGTAGCAAGTTGAGGCTCACAACCCCCATTCTATTCTAACTCTACGATTTTTCTGTTTATGAGGATTTCGTGTCATCTGCAAACGTGTCATTTCAGCTAGGCTGCTGGAGTTTCTCTATCAAAAGCCTTGTATTAATGAAGCTTGGAGCCATAAGTGATAAACCTCAAATAACAGCTGCTTAAATAAGATGGAAGTTTATTTCTTGCTCACATTCAAGGGAGTCAGTCCAAGACCAGGATGGTGCTGCATGGTCAGAGACCTTCGTGTTCCTTCATAACTCCTGGGCACGGTTTCCATTCCCAAGCCCATCTCATGGTCCCAGATGGCTGCTCACCTCCAGCCTTCATATCTGTGTTCCAGGCAGCAGGAGGAGGGAGGAACGAAGGAAGATACACATCTCCCTTTCTCTAAGGACACTTCCTGGAAGTTGCCTGCTTCTTTCATATATACCTCATTGGCCATAAATTATTCCAGAGCCACACCTAGCTGCGCTGGAGGAGGGAATGTCTTTATTCCAGGTGGCCACCTGTCCAGCAAGAACTAGAGGATCCTTTATTTTTCCCTAGTTTTTTTTTTTTTTTTTTTGCGACAAAATACACATAACATAAAATTTTCTATCTTAACCATTTTTAAGATAGAAAAATGGTATTAGGTACATTCATATTGTTGTGCAACTATTACCACCATCCATCTCCAGAACTCTTCTTATCACACAAAACTGAATCTATACCCTTATGTACTAACTCCCCATTTGCCCCTCTCCTCAGCTACTGGCAGCCATCGTTCTACCTTCTTTTTCTTTTTTCTTTTTTGTCTGTGTTGGGTCTTTGTTGCTGCACGCGGGTTTTCTCTAGTTGTGGCAAGCGGGGGCTACTCTTTGTTGTGGTGCGTGGGCTTCTCATTGCTGTGGCTTCTCTTGTTGCAGAGCATGGGCTCTAGGCGCGCGGGCTTCAGTAGCTGTGGCACGCGGGCTCAGTAGTTGTGGCTCGCGGGCTCTGGAGCACAGGTTCAGTAGTTGTGGCACACAGGCTTAGTTGCTCCGCGGCACGTGGGATCTTCCCAGACCAGGGCTCGAACCTGTGTTCCCTGCATTGGCAGGCGGATTCCTAACCACTGCGCCACCAGGGAAGTCCCCGTTCTACTTTCTGCCTCTATGATTTTGACTACACTAGGTACCACATATAAATGGAATCACAGAGGATTTGTCTTTTTGTGACTGACTTATTTCTCTTAGCATAATATCCTTAAGCTTCATCCATGTTGCAGCATGTGTCAGAATTTCCTTCCTTTAAAAGGCTGAATAATATTCCATTGTTTGTATTTACATTTCGTTGATCCGTTCATCCATCTGTGGACACTAGGGTTGTTTCCACCTTTTGGCTATTGTGAAGAATGCTGCTATGAACATGGGTGCACAGGTATCTCTTCAAGCCTCTGCTTTCAATTCCTTTGAGTATATAAAAGCCAGGGGATCCTTTTGTATGGAAGAAGGGCTCAGGGGAAAGCCTGCTCGTAACGTGCAATTCTTCCACACTTTCTTACGGGTCACAGGGCTGGATCTGCAGTCTTTTGGGCAAGACATTTTACTGTCAGCATAAACCAGGCCCCTTACCACTCCAGTCATATCTCTGACCCTTTGGTTTGCTTTATTTGGGAAATCAAAAGAGATTTTCAATTACACACTGCCAAAGTGATCCAGTTTCACCCACACCTGAATTCCCCTTTATCGTGTTTCTGTTTGCAGAACTCACACCCACCCTGGCCTTCCTGTGTTCCCACGGTCTCCGGGAGCACAGTGGGGCTTGTCACACCCACTTTAGGGTAGAGGAAACTGAGGCTTTGAGCCAAGGTAAAGCCTGCACCCTTTATTCATTATTTTGACTATCGATCAAGTGCCCACTCTATGCCAGATACCAGGGCTACAGTAGTGAACAAAACAGACAGAAGCCCCTGCCCTCCTGGAGCTGGTACCCTGTGGGGAGCCAGACAGTAACCACATAAATAAACCATACGGTATGCTAGAAGGCGTTCAGTGCTATGAAAACAAACTAAAAAGAAGAGTTGGGTAGGAGGGTGCAACAATTTAAAGTGGTGAGGGTGTCACTGAGAAGGTGACATTTGAGCACACCTGAAGGAGGGGAGTAAGGGAGCCATGTGGATACCTGGGGGAAGAGTGTTCCACCAGGAAAGAATAGCCAGTGCAAAGGCCCTGAGGTGGGAGCGTGCTGCCCTGGGTTGTGTGGTGCCCCGTGGGTCACCATAAGGACTTTGTCCTTTTACCTGAGTGAGATGGAGCCATGGGGGGATTCTGAGCAGGGCGGGGACATGACCTGACTCACGTGTTCACAGGGTCCCTCTGGCTGCCTAAGGGGGGAAGGGAGACCAGGCAGGAGGCTGCTGGGTAGACAGGACCAGGATGGAGCCGTGGGGTGGAGTGGGGCGAGTCGGTGGGTTTTGGATCTGTCTGAAGGTTGAGACAACAGACAGAAACTGGGTGTGAGTGACAAGGGAGTCGAGGATGACACCAGGCTCTTGGCCTGAACAGCAGGCAGGGTGGAGGTGCCGTCGCTGGAGATGAGAGATTCTAGGAGAGGTGGGTTCGAGAGTGAAATTAGTCCTTGGCTTAGAGTGGCCACAGACCCCGGAGTGGATGCCGAGTGGGCAGAAGGATTTCCCCCTCACTCCCACAGGGTACGGATACACGACGCCGCTGACCGACGGGGGCAAGGCCTTCTCCATCGCCTTTGCGCTCCTGGGCGTGCCGGCCACCATGCTGCTGCTGACCGCCTCGGCCCAGCGCCTGTCCCTGCTGCTCTCCCACGCGCCCCTGTCCTGGCTGAGCCGGCGCTGGGGCTGCCACCCCCCGCAGGCGGCCCGCTGGCACCTGGCGGTCCTGCTGGGGGTCGTGGTGACCATCTGCTTCCTGGTGCCGGCCGCCGTCTTTGCCCACCTTGAGGAGGCCTGGAGCTTCCTGGACGCCTTCTACTTCTGCTTCATCTCTCTGTCCACCATTGGCCTGGGTGACTATGTACCTGGAGAGGCCCCCGGCCAGCCTTACCGGGCCCTCTACAAGGTGCTGGTCACAGGTGAGTGGGGTGGCTGGCCGGGGACTGAGGGCCGGGTCTGAGGGGGACCTGGCCCCAACCCAGGGGGGAGTTGAAAGTCACTGCCCAATCTTTGGGGGTCCTGTAGCCCCATGGCCATGACCTGGAGGTCTGAGTCCACCCATCGCCTCTCTGCCGTCTCTGCAGTCTACCTCTTCCTGGGCCTGGTCGCCATGGTGCTCGTGCTGCAGACTTTCCGCCGTGTGTCTGACCTTCATGGCCTCACAGAGCTCATCCTGCTGCCCAATCCATGCCCTACCAGCTTCAACGAGGATGGGGACGATCGGGTGGACATTCTGGGCCGCCAGCCAGAGCCACACCAGCAATTCGCCGCCGGCTTGCACCCTGACTACGCCTCCATCCCCAGGTAGCTGGGGCAGGCGCCGCGAGGCTGCGGACCTGGCCTGCCACTGAGGGGCCCAAGGGACTGGACTGACAGACCAGCACGTCCACAAGCACATGCAAGTGTTCCTGAGGCCCTGCCTCCGCTATCCGTCTGTCCTTTGTCTTACCTGCCTGAGCACCACCCGGATCCAGGAACCAGCATTGCCTAAGTTTCCCCTGCCCCTCCTCTCACCTCCCTGCACACTCTGTGCCTCCCTGGCTTTCTTACCGTCTCTGTCTTTCCCTCTCACCATCTCTTTGTTTCTCATTCTTTTACGCCATCTGCCACTCACCACCTGCTGATTCTCCCAGGCTCTGGACTCACACCTCATTTCAGGAGCTAGATCAGTCACTCCACTTTGGCCAAGTGGCCGGCCCTCTCAGAGCCTTGATCTCCTCATCTGTCAAGTGGAAAGAGTATATTCACTCATTCAAAACTCCCTCCTCTGTGCCAACCCATGCTGGGCAGTGCTAGGGACTTAGTAGTGTTCCAGATGGTCTGGGCCCTGCTCTCATGGGGCTTGCCATCCTGTAAGGTAGACAGACCTGTCCCCACACAGTGACAGTCCATAACAGGCAGGACTTCAGTGGGGGGGTGAGGGTGGCGGTGGGCAGAGTGGTCAGGGCTAGGGTGGAAGGAGCACAGGGAATGTACCCAATCCAGCCTGGAAGGTCAGGGAGGGCTTCCTGGAGGAAGGGGCAACTGAACTCAGACCTGAAATCTGAGGAGTAGTCCGGGGAAGAAGGTGTACCTGACTCATTTTCCTCAAGTGTATCCAGGGAGCAAGACACATTCGGAGACTCCTGGGGTAGGCTTGTGTGATAGAATCTTCTTCAGCAGCCTGGCAGGCAGGAAGCTAAGGCACTGCTCTTCGTAAGACACCATTGTAACAGCTGTTCCCGTTTACCAAGGACTAATTACATTAGGTGCACTGGGCTCTGAAGCCAGCCTGCTTGGGCCCAAATCCCAACTCAGTCCTGTCTGTGTCCTTGGGTGGTCACTTTGCCTCTGTGATTCTTGGTTTCCTCATCAGGAAAATGGCAATAACGAAAGATGATTTCACAGAGCCTGCCATGTTATTCTGTGATGCTTTCTTTGGCCAGGCCCTGTTCTGGGTACTTTACATATGAGGCAGATAATGATAATATTATCAGTGGACATGGGCATATCGTAAGCATCCTTAAAGGACCATCTTGGGAACTTGGCTTCTTTCTTGAGGGCACTAGAGAGCCATGGAAGGGTTTTGAGCAGGAGAGGGCCATGGTTAGGTTTGGGTTTTAGCTGCTGTGTGCAGGGGGACACTGAGGCTGGGTGCCCAGGGGAGGCTGGGGCAGGAACAAAGCAGGAGACAGTGGGACTGGGTAGGGCCAAGGGAAGAGGAGGAGGGGGCGAGTCGAGGGATGCTCAGAAGGCCAAGTGGACAGGCCATAAGCCTTACAGACTTGGGAGGGATAAGGCCAGAGAAAGGTCCAAGGTTGGTCAGCTGCCCCTGAGGTGGGAGCCTGGGAGAAAGAACAGATTTGAAGGGAGATGCTGAGGCTTGTTTGGAACATGGTGGCTGTGAAGGGCTAATGGGACACACAGGGGAAGGCATCAGGAGGTTACAGGACCCTCAGGGCAAGGCCTCAGTGGGTGGTTGAGGCTGGAGACAGACAAGGAAACCAAGGCCATGAAGGTGGGTTTGACAGCTCTGGGTGGGAATGAAGAGAGAAGACCAGCCTTGAGAAATCAGCCTTAGGATGTTTATATATTTATATCAGTAAGGAAAGATTTGGGTTGCAAGTAACCAAATCCTGACTGGCACTGGCTGAAACGATGAGATGGTTGTATATTGTACATCACCAGAGTTGGGGACAGCTCCAGGCATGATACAATCCACAGCTCCAAGAAAGTCTTGTGGTCCCAGGTTCCCTCTTTCTCTGCTCTGTTACCCTCAGCTGAAGGCTTGGCTCCCACATGGGCTCTCCTCGTGGCCCCAGAGTGGCTGCCACAGATCCAGGCATCACAATCAGACATGTTAATTTTTATTACAGGAAGTTGGCGGGGTGTGGTGGTGGGGGCATCTCTTCCCATGGTACCTTTTTGGAAACAAGGAAACCTTTTCCCAGTGTCTCCCAGCAGCCTTCCTCTTCCATCTCATTGGCCAAAATTGGCTCACATGCACATCCTGACCCAATCATTGGCCAGAGTGATGGCATCACCATGATTAGCTTGGATGCCTCAGGATTCCCCCTGCCACCCAGGTCTGAGGCTGGGGCTGAGGTTTTAGTTTGCAGGCTGGTGAATACTTGAACAAAACTGGGCTTCTATTAGAAAGGCAGAAAGTTGGGAGAATGGGCAGACATCAATAAACTAATCAGCCAAGGCAGTGATGTACAATTATGCAGGTTGAGACCTACATAAGGGATGCCTGGCTGGTAGGGTGGAAACAAATAGGGGCTGAAGTTCATGGCTGAATATGCCCAAAGGGGACTTCTTTTTCTAATTAACATAACAGCCCCATATGGTGAGCAGTGACCCTTCAACCAATGCCCTCCTACCCGAGAGAAGAGCTTACAAAGGAGACAGAAAAGGAGTTCTGGAGAGGAGTAGGAAAACCAGGAGGGTGGGGAGTATTGTAAGAGATGAGAGAATTTTAAGGAGGGAGGAGGCAACATTGTCAAATGATGCTAAGAAGTCACACAAAACTGTTTTAATAACAGTGATAGAAAACACTTATATAGGATTTACTATGTGCCAGGCATTGTTCCAAGCCCCTGATACACAAGAATTTATTTAACCCTCTCAGCAACTCTGTGAGTCAGGTACATTCTCCATATTGCAGATGAGGAAAGGAGGCCCAGAGAGGTTAAATAACTTATCCAAGGTCACACAGGAAATGCAAAACTGAGATTTGGACAAGGTTTTGGTTGGTCACCTTGTCCCACGGAGGCTCAGAAACACCCACTGTCTAGCTCTTTCTCAGTCTCCCAGCCTTCCTGGCTCCTCAGCATGGTCGTTGACCCTGCTGCTGAAGTCACTAGCTGGGTGGAAGGCAGGTGCTGGGTGGAAGGCAGGTGCTTGGGGGAGGTGCCTGTGTGATCTGGTTTCTGCTCCTCACCACTTCTCCTTCCAAATTCCCCCGGAAAAAGAAATCAGGCCCTGCTCAGTTCAAGATATTAAAAAAAAAAAAAAAAAAAGCACATGCTTAAAAATGGAAAAAGTAGAGAAGACTGTACAGTGAAAAGTAAGTCTTCCTCCTGTACTTGGGCTGTGTTGACAGATTTCTCAGGTCTCCTAGGCATGAACCAGCAATATACATGTGTGTGTATATGTGTGTTATTAATTTTTTTCTTTCACTCTACATAAGTGGTACCTAGTACAGTGAGGTGGTTACAATCACAGACTCTGGAGGCAAAGTCCCTGGGTATAAATCTGAACTCTGTCACTTCTAGGCTCTGTGGTTTTGGGCAAGTGATTTCACCTTCCTGTGCCTGAGTTTGCCAATCTGTGAAATGGTATGATAACAGCACCTACCTCATGGACTTGTTGGAGAATGAAGCAATTTAATAAAGCTCTTAGAACAATGTCTGGTGCTCAGTAAAATGTCAGCTAATGGTTATTCTCATTTCTGCACCTTTTTCATATTATATGTTTCATATATACATGTATGCTTTTCTAATATTCTCTTTTCTGCACCTTGCTTTTTTCACCAACCCAGTGTCACTCGGAGATCATTCAAGAGGCACACAAGTAGGTCTCCTATCCTTTTTTACGTCTGTGGTGCCTCCTCTAGGACCCACATCCAATAAATTATTTCCACGTTTCATTAACGGACATGTGGGTGGCTGCCAGTCTTTTGCTGTCGTAAGTGATGCTGTAGGGTGTACCCTGTGCATCAAGGTAACAGAGGCCCTCCCCTTGGTGGGGCTATATTCCTGAGTGTGGGGGGGTGCCATGAGGACACCCCAGTCTCTCTGCCTCTGTGAGTCTAGAAGGGCTCAGGTACACAGCTGCAGGATTTCTTCCCTCAGATGAAGTCACCCTCCATGGTCTGTGGGGATGGGCTGGGGGGTGGGGAGCACAGACCCCTGTCAGCTCTTCATTTACGTAGAACACCTATAATGTGCTGTGTTGCACAGAGTTGGGAACAAGTGACAGAGAAAGCCCTAGGCCCTACCCTCACGGAGCCTGTGATGCACTGGGAAACAAAGACCCATTCCCAGATAGACATGGCCTAGCATGGTCAGGGGAAGGATGGGGGCTGCTCGCATATCATAGACAAGACCTGAAAGGAGCAAAGTGGTCAGCCGGTGACAAAGTAGGGAATTGCATTCCAGAGGGTGTTACAGCAAATGCACACTCTGGAGGAGAGCGAGCATGCTTGATCAAGGATATTCAAGTCGCTCCGTGTGACTAGGCTTTGGACTACAGAGGGAGAAAAGGTGCCTGGGCTAGGAAGGACTACAGGGATGAGATTATGCAGGGCTCTGGAAAACAATTGAGTTTGGATGTTTCCCTGGGGTCCTGGGGAGTCATGGAAGGTTCCCAGGGTGTTGTCCCCAGACCATTAGTATCAGCATCACCTGGAATCTTGCTGGAAATACAAATTCTCCAGCCCCATCTCAAAACTTACTGAATCAAAACCCCTGGGGGTGGAGCCCAACAACCTGTTTTAACAAGCTCTTTTGGTGAGTCTAATGCATGCTAAGGTTTGAAAACCACTGGGGTTTAGAGTAAAGTCAGCTTTGCAGTTCATCAAAAAATCATGGTCTGGGGAATTCCCTGGCGGTCCAGTGGTTAGGACTCCACACTTTCATTGCAGAGGGCCCAGGTTCAATCCCTGGTCGGGGAACTAGGATCCCAGAAAAAAAAAAAAGTCATGGTCTGAGTCCTTAACTGTTAGGCATCAGAATAACAATGAAAACTGCTAACTTATTGAATATTTACTTGTGCCAGGCATTCTTCACGTGCTATCTTATTGGCTTCCCGAAACAGCTCTATGAGATGGCTGCCTTTGTCCCTGTTCTGTAGAGAAGGGTGTTAAGCCGCAGTCAGATTAATTCCCATATGGAGACCAAATTGTTTTTCACTAGAATTGTGATATCAATGTCTGATTGGGTAGAAAGACAAGTAGGCGAGAACCACCAATAGGAACTCCTTGAAGGGCTTCCCATCGCAAACTTCGTCCCCAGCACCCTCTGCCGGCCAGGCCCCGCGCTACTGGGTGTTGAGCACCGCCCTCCCTCCGCCCCGCAAGCCGTAGGCGCTGGTTGGGGTGCGCGTTACCATGGAGACAGGCGGGCGAGGCAGGCGTGCCTCGAGAAAGGCAGAAGTCGGTTGTGGAAGTGTAGGCGGCCATTTTGAGACCGGGCAAGAGGGGCGGGACTGGAGCGGCCGAGTGACGGTTGACCGGTTCAACTTAGAGACTGGTACCACGGGGCGGGGAGAAGAGGGAGGTGCCTGGGGTCATGCCTGGGCGGGAAGGGTGGGGGGGGCGGGGTTAAGAAGGGGAGGGGAGGGGGGAGGCGAGGAGGGGAAAGGCTGGGGAAAAGGAGGACAGTCCAGGGACTGGGCACAGGAGGGGCGGGGCGGAGAAAGGGCGGGGCGAGGAGTCGGGAGAGGCTAAGAGAAGAAGCGGGGCGATGAATAGGGTCGGGGCTAGAAGAGGCGGAGCGTAGAGCCAGGCTGTCCAGGGAATGGAAAGGGGTGGTGAAAAGGGAGGGGGCGAAAAGGTGTCGGGGTTCAGGGGGAAGGTGAGGATCAAGAAAGTGCTGACTGACAAGGTAGCGCCGACAAGGAACGAGGAGAAGTTGCAGGACGAGGAGAGGGTGCGGAGCGAGGGGAAGACCAGTGGCTAGGAGAGTTCCCAAGGCAAAGAAAGCGTCTCTAAAGAGAAGGGGCGGGGCCATAGGAGGGGGCGGGGCAAGGAGCTGGCTTGGGAAGAACAGCTCCCCCAGGATGAGGGGGAAGGGTGGGTCTATAAGGGGCGAGACGAGGAGCAGAAGCCGAGCGAGGAGCAAGCTCCAGGCGAGAAACAGGAGCGGGGACAGGGGAAGCGCGGGGCGTGGGGAAGGGGCGGGGAAGGTCCGGAAACAGGATCCGGAGAGGGGCGGGTCTAGAGGCAGGACCCGGTACCTGGGCAGGGCCCGAGCACGGACAATGGGGCGGTGCGAAGAGAAGTGGGGGGCGGGGCAAGAAGTGGGGGCGGAGCCACGTGCAGGTTCGCGACCAGAGGAACTGGGGAAAATAGGTGGGGCGCAGCTAAATCGAGAAACAGAAACCGAGACCCAGTGAAGAGTAGCGGTGGGAGGCAGCGCAGGGGCAAGAGGAAAGAAGTGTGGGGCAAGGTTAAGGGGAGAGGCCAGGAGGCCGGACGAAACCAGGAGTAGGGGCGTGGCCAGGAGCAACAGGAGGGGCGAGACCTGGAGTAGTAGCAGAGGCGGGGTCCAGAAGTGTAGTAGATGCAGGGTCTGGGGCAGGGCCGAGTTCTGGAGCAGAGGCGGAGCCAGGAACAAAAGCAAGGGTGGAGCCTGGAGCAAGAGCAGGAGAGGAGCGAGGAGCAAAAGTAGGAGTGGAGCGTCTGAGCAGAGGCGGGGCCAGGAGCAGGGACTGGACGAAGCACCGGAGCGAGGCGGGATCTCAGAAGGCGCCTACCAAGAACAGTCTTGCAGGCTGGTGACCTCCGCATTCTCCAGGTTGAAGCCACGTTATCCACTGCCCCGAGATGTCCCCTGCTGGCCCTGCGTGGCCGAGGCTCCGAGTCCTGCAGACGCTGTGGGCACTGCTGGTGGTGCTGTTGGCACCGTGGAGGTTGTGGGCGATAAAGAATACCCAGGAGTGCACCTGGCAAGTTGTCCTGAACAACTTTGAGACAGTAGGCAAGAAGGACGCGAGCGATCGTTTCGTCGATCAAGAGCCCTTGTACACAGTGGACAAAGTGTTCAGCCAGCTAGTGGACGCGCCCGTCGACCCGGACGAGGTGAGGGGACTGGTGTCAGGCAAACGGGAGAGGTCCTGGACCTGCACCCCACTGGGCTCTGGACATTTGCCCACCCTCTCCTTGCAGACATACCTGGGCTTTCCTTACTACCTGAAGATCAACTACTCCTGCAAGGGAGAGGTGAGTGGGTGCAGAGGGGGTGGGTTCATTCTGTTGGGGCCTCAGTTTCTCCATCTCTAACATTTGAATAGCGGTGGCACCACCAGACCCTAGGGACCTTAAAGATTCAAGAAAATTCCCAGTATCCCACGAGGCACATAGTTGGTGCTCAAGTAAGCTTTCTATTTCCATGTTTTAAAATTGACGTATAGGGTCTTACCTGGCGGTCCAGTAGTTAAGACTCCGCACTTTCACTGCAGGGGACACGGGTTCCATCCCTGGTCCGGGAACTAAGATCTCGCACGCCCCACATCGCGGCCAAACAAAACAAAATAACAACAACAAAACACTTTCCTCAATAAAGTGAAGAAAATATTTTTCGAAAATCGAGATATAGGGCTTCCCTGGTGGCGCAGTGGTTGAGAGTCTGCCTGCCGATGCAGGGGACGCGGGTTTGTGCCCCGGTCCGGGAGGATCCCACATGCCGCGGAGCGGCTAGGCCCGTGAGCCATGGCCGCGGAGCCTGTGCTCCGCAACGGGAGAGGCCACAACAGTGAGAGGCCCGCGCACCGCAAAAACAAAAAAAAAAAAAAAAAAAATTGAGATATAATTCACATACCATAAATTCACTATTTTAAAATATACAGTTCGGGAATTCCTTGGCGGTTCAGTGGTTAGGACTCTGAGCTTCCACTGCAGGGGACACGGGTTCCATCCCTGGTTGGGGAAATGAGATCCTGCAAGCTGCGGGATACAGTTCAATAGTTTTTTGTATATTTACAAAGTTGTGCAACCATCACCGTTATCTTGTTCCAGCACATTTTTTTTAAAATTAATTAATTAATTTATTTATTTGGTTGCGCTGGGCCTTAGTTGCAGCATGTGGGCTCTAGTTCCCTGAGCAGGGATCAAACCCGGGCCCCCTGTATCGGGAGCGAGGAGTCTTAACCACTGCGCCACCAGGGAAGTCCCCCCAGCACATTTTTATCACCTCAAGAGGAAACCCTGTACCCCCATCCCTCCAGCCCCTGGAGACCACTAATCTACTTTTTTCCCCTATGAATTTGCTTATTCTGGACATTTCATATAAAGAATGGAATCAGGGGCTTCCCTGGTGGCGCAGTGGTTGGGAGTCCGCCTGCCGATGCAGGGGACGCGGGTTTGTGCCCCGGTCCGGGAAGATCCCACATGCCACGGAGCGGCTGGGCCCGTGAGCCATGGCCGCTGAGCCTGCGCGTCCGGGAGAGGTGCTCCACAACGGGAGCGGGCATACCAGAGAGAGGCCAGCGGACCGCGCACCGCGAAAAAAAAAAAAAAAAAAAAGAATGGAATCATACAATATGTGGCCTTTTGTATCTGACTTCTTCTCAAGGCTTATCCATGTTGTAGCATGCGTTAGTATTTCCTTTTTATGGCTGAGTAATAATATTCAGTTGTATGGATGTGCTACATTTTGCTTATCCATTCATTAATTGATGGACATTTGGGTTATTTCCACTTTTGAGGGGGGATATTACGAATAATGCTGCTATGAACATGTCTGTACAAGTTTTTGTGTAAACATCTGTTTTCAGTTCTCTTCACTATATACCTAGGAAAGGAATTGCTGGGTCATATGTTAACTCTGTTTCTCTTCTGAGGAACTGCCAGCCTGTTCTCCAAAGCAGCTACACATCATTTTATATTCCCATCAACAATGTATGAAGGGTCCAGTTTTTTCTATATCCTCACTTGC